CCCTTTTGGAGCTTTATAATTACAGATGAATGTATTCAAGCTTGGGCAGACATTCCCTGCAACTCGTCCAGACCCTCAACACTCTAGAAACACACCCCAGACAGTTAGCAAAAGCTGAATAACCACTACTGTCTTTGGAAATAAGACTGGAGGCTCTATCAATTCCCGTACTGATGTCTTCAGCCACAAACAGAGCAAGCTGCAAATGGCATAGACCAAAAGGTAAAAGAAATGGTAAGCCGACTTGCTCATTTGGTGTTACAGTGCCTAAGTAAACTATGTATTCATCCAAGGCTCTTGAAATCCGAAAGCAATAAGTCTCGGACCCTTCCAACAAGGGCTTGCAAAATTTCTGTGATGGTTAGCTGGACCACCCCATATAAGTGCAGCATGAAGCTGACATAAAGCCTGGAACTTCTTAACGTTGCCTTCCCACCTGTACTCAAGCCTAAGGGTCGCAAGCAGCGAGGCCACAGTCAGAGTTGTAAGAAGAGTGAAGGGACGACTTTGCAAGGTTGCACTGTCCGGGTAGGCAGGAAGCATCAAATCAAGGGTGTAGCTGACGAAAAAGACAAGTCTGGGTCAACGAAGAAGCGGAGTATAAGGCCGTCCAATGCCCGTTCCATATCACTCAACAATGCAATGGGTGCAACCAACGTTAAGCAGCTGCTATCACGCAGCATCGTCCTTTTCGATGATCTGCGAATTTGGGAAAGTACGAGAGCAACAGGACAGCAAGGTTGCCATCCCCACACCGTGCATCGACAATAGAAGATACGTCGGCCAGTGGAGTAGACTTCACACTGACTCGGAAAAAAGGAGGATGAAGAGGCCTCTTCGACTCACTGCTACCATGTGCTTGGAGCATGCTGATGCTGGAAACTGGACCAATAAGTGAAGTTACGTTCCTGTATGACATTCACTGTAGTACACCAGAGCTAATGATTGGAGACAACGTGTATCACAGGGATAAAGTTGACTCAACCAGTTCGACACTGATAATAACGCCACGTGCACAGTCAGTAGATGTTCAGTTCTGTGGCGGATCCCTCATAATTGTTCCTCCAGGAATGATAGAGGACATAATACCACCAAACGAGTTGATGGGCATTCGGGATGAGAGGGCAAGGGCGAGGGCAAGGACAAATCCAATGAAGATATTTTGGATTCTTTCATTCTTACTGACAGAAGAAGGTTGAGGGCTCCCAGCCCTCCATCTCTTCCCTCATCACACTGTTGTTAGGGGAGATGTGTTCTCTAGGTTGATAGCACTCTCAAACTGTGAATGTAGACCTGCAGCCCTTAATCCAACTATATTCCCAAAGCTACTAGCTAGGATTTATGCTAGGAGAACAAGTAGGAATACAAGAAGAGTTAAAAAACTAAGGAACTACTGTATCTACAGACTGCTTTTTATAATAACTAAATAACAAGAGTAAAGTGAGGAATGAAACTTGAGAATAAGATTAAAGAAATAATAAGAACAAATATTGCAAAGCTAACAGGTGTATTAGAGGCTAGGAAGAATTAACAGAGTATTGTGTATTAGAGAATATAGACTAAGAAGCTATTGTACAAAAGAGGCACAAGTTACTATATTAGGCAAGAAATGGATTAGCTGTGTTGTAATTGTATACACTACCTTGTGTCTCTGTAGCTCTTTCCTACACTCAATACTAAGACAATCTTTATGAAACTTTGTAGAACAATAGATAAGATGTTAAGGATTATGAAAATCTAGTAGTAATGTTGGTTTTTTACAGAACTGACAGAGATATAAAGAAAATGAAATAGGTCCAATCCTACAATCCTAACATTACCTCCCTCCTTAGGTTGTATGTCCTGGACAACTGAATCTAGGGGCTATTTTGTTTAAGCAAAGTGTTAAAGTCTCTAAAGGTTCCTTTTAGAATGTTTAGTCATCTTAAAGTACTAGGATAAGTTTTGTAGAAATTCCTAACAGTATCCTAAGTATGAGTGAGGTCATTTTCAGGCTGCCAAGTTGCTTCCTAGTATCTTACCCATTTGACAAGGAACTGAAGCTTTCTCTTGTAGAGTCAAGAGTCAAGGATAGTCTTAACTTTGTATTTAATCTTATTATCTACAAGTTTAAGAGGAGGAGGAGGAGGAGCCTTCTGAATATTAAAGACTTGAGGAACATATGGTTTGAGTAGAATCTTATTAAACACTAGGTGAATCAACCATTCCTAAGGTAGTTTGAGTCTATATATACTAGCTCCAACTTTTAAGTTAACCTTAAAGGGACCAAACTACTTATTATTAAACTTTTTAGTAGGTCTAATAGTCTTTATGTTTCTTGAGTCTAAACACACTATATCTCCTAGCTTGTACTATATAGAGGGGCCTGAATAATAATTATAGTACTTCTTTATAGTTTCAGTAGCTTAGTCCAGACTTTTCTTTACAAGTTCCTAAACATCTTTAATATACTTAACTCATTATTCAACTAAATATGTACTTGTCTCAGTCAAAACCAATTCAAAACTTATAGGGTGTCTTCTAGAGTTGACATAAAATAAGGAGAACTTTGTAGTAGAGTGTTCTTGATTGTTATATGTAAACTCAGCCATAGAAATATATTCTGCCCAGTCTGACTATTTATAGTTAACATACAAGTAGAGATACTGTTCTATCTCTTAATTAATACACTCAGTTTGACTATTAGTTTAAGAATAATATACTGTAGAGGGATTCCCTTTAATATAAAGAGCTTTGTAAAGTTCTCTCATGAATTTAGTATTAAATTGTAGTCCTCTGTCATATATAATCTTCCTAAGTAATCTATAGAGTCTAAAGACTTGATCCCTATACAGTCTAACTATTCCCTCAGCTGTAACCTTTGTAGTAGTTGGAAGAGTATGTATTTACTTAGAGAAACAATCTACAATAATACAAATAGTGTTAAATCCCTTAGACTCAGACAATTCACTAATTAAATCAACAGATATTACCTGCTAAGGTCTAGCAAGTGTAATATAAGAGTGTAATGCCCTTTGTCTTATAGTGTGCAGGGATTTTGTTCTTTAGCATTTATTATAGTCTTAAACATACTTCTTAGTGTCTGTTCTTATCTGTAACTACTAGAACTCTCTCTAAATCATTTCAAGTGTCTTCCTATACTCTAAATGTTCTACAAGTAGGGAATTATAATATTCCTTCAGAACCATTAGTATAAAGTCTAATAGAACATATATCTTTGAATTTCTACACATATAGTTATTTCTAATAAGTATACTAGCTAGGTACTCCTCTCCTTTGTCTAATAATTTCTACTAAGTGTTCTAGATCTTTTACAGAATGACTTTACTGCCTGTATATACTATTCCTCTTAACTAGAAGTCTTTAATAAAGGTAACATCTTTGTTATTATACTCTCCCTTATTAAATTAAGGACTTCTAGACAGTGTATCTGCTTTTGTAAGCATTTTCCCAGGTTTATACATTAAAACAAAGTTATAGTCTGTCAGTTCTGTTCTCTAACAAGTCTGTCTGTAGTTTAACTTGTAGAGAGTCTTAAAGTATGTCAAATTAGTATAGTCAGACTATACTTCAAAGGTTTACCTTACTCTTAATAAGTACTAGTACTAGTCCTTAATAGCTTTAATAATAGTAAGCATTTCTTTATTATAGATCTTATAATTTTACTCTATAGGGTTTAGAGATTAATATCTGAATACTATAGGACACTATACACTATTTTGCTTTTGAGAAAGAACTGCTCCAAGTGTATAATTAAATGAATCAGTTTCTACTCTAAATAGATTATACTTATTTAGAATTGTAAGGACAGGCTGTGAGCTCAATTGTCTCTTAAGCTCTTCTATAGCTTCTCTTTACTCATTTCCCTAAGTAAATAGAACCTTCCTAGTTAGTTTAGTGAGTAGACAAGCTATTTTACTATAGTCCTTAATGAATCTCTAATACTAGTTGTAGAAACTAGTAAACTATTTGTTAGTGTGTTGAGGTCGCAATGTTTCCTAATCAATAGGAAATATTCTTCCGTAGGTTTGTGCACTGCTCACAAGGATACTAAGAGTAAGTCACACTAGTAGGGGTTCAGTAGACTCTGCTCATAGTGTGTAGGTGTCAATATGAGTCAACTGCACGTAAGTTC